TGTGTATATATATGTGTGTGTGTGCCTGTGTGTGTGAGAAAGTGTGTTTGAGTGTGCGTCTGTTCGTGTGTGTGTGTGTGTGTGTGTGTGTGTGTGTATACTTGAACAGATATTTGTTTATTTGCCAAAAGCTTTTGCGTCGACCAAAACAAAAATCATTCCCCGCTGTGAAACCCTGTACCTTTAAATGGAGGCAACAATACAAACACTAACCAGCGAGAGCACCTGATTCTGGAAGCTGTGAACTAATGCCAGGGACCTGTGTCAAAACACAGGTCATTGCCTCCTTCCTTTAACATGTTTGTTTTTTTTATAATTATTATTTTTATGTCTCTGCAATGCTGTTTATCTCCCTCCTTTTTTCTTCATAGCGCCACTAATGACCAGTTTGCATAGATTGTGGGTACTGCCCCTCTTGGCTACCAGAAAATATTCTTCACCATCCGCAGACAGAGAAGAGCCCCAGCTCAATAAGTCAGAGCTGGAAACATTTTCTCTAAGGGTGAAGCAAATTATTTACTAGCAACCAGAGCCTTGACTCGATGGCTCAGTAATTAGCACTGCTCACAGCAACAGGGGACTGGGCTGGATTCCAGGCTTGAGCGACTGTCTGTATGGAGTTTACACATTCTCCCCGTGTCTGCGTGGGTTTCCTCTGGGTGCTCTGGTTTCCTCCCACAGTCCAAAGATGTGCAGGCTAGGTGGATTGATTAGGCTAAATTGCCCATAGTGTTCAGGGATATGCAGACCAGGTGGATTAGCCATGGCAAATGCAGGGTTAGAGGGATGGGCCTGTGTGGGATGCTTTTCAGAGGGTTGGTGTGGACTAAATGGGCTGAATTGGCCTGCTTCCACACTGTAGGGATTCTATGACAGTTTTGAACTATTCACTTAACCATTGCTTCTTGGTTTTACACTGATAGTGACATGCACAATGACCCAAAATAAAAACCGAAAGAACTGTGGATGCTGTAAATAAGGGACAAAAACAAAATTGCTGGAAAAACTCAGCAGGCCTGGCAGCATCTGTGAAGAAAAATATCAGAGTTAACCTTTCGGGTCCAGTGACCCTTCCTCAGAGCAGTTTAGAGCTTGTTACAAAACAACATGCATGGCAGTGAAATGGTTATTAAAATAAACCAAAAGGACTGCGGATGCTGGAAATCAGAAACAAAAACAGAAGTGGCTGGTAAAGCTCATCTGTGGAGAGAAATCAGAGTTAAGGTTTCGGGTATAGTGATCCTTCCTCAGAACAGAAATGTTTATTTCAAATGGTTTAACACCTTCATTAATGTGATCAGAGTATTTTCGTACGCTAACGTTCTGAGAAGTTGCAAGAAAATGTTGAGGTGTGTCAAATGCACAGAATATTCCTCAGAAAACCGGGTCTCAGCCAGTGGCTTCATCCATCGCTCAATAACCATGACTTGTCAAGATTCGTTAAATGTCGCTCTTCATCGGGAATACCAAATCACTGTTTTAGTTTTGTATTTGAGTCAACGTTTTGTGGTTTATTTAAAGCTCCCAATTACTGAAGTCTCATGCTCCTGTCTTTTCTGAAGGCAAAGGGGTGTAGCAGCTTTGAATCTCATTGTGGATCCTCAAAAATAAAATGTGAAACGTAGATAAAGACTCTTGTGTTTCCAGGAAATAAGAGGCCATCATGATAAACCAGCTTCTGACCATACCTGGTGCGCTCTGTAATCTTTCATTCTTTGATTTATTTTATATACTTTTACACTTCCCACTGAAAACGCTGAGTTGTACTGGGTACAGTTCTGTGGGCATCAGCCACTCTTAAAGATTTTATCAAGTGATTCCTTTTGTGATGTGGCCATTACCAGGCTGCTCAATTCACACTGTATGTGCACTGCAGCTGACACTGATCCTTTACCTTATTCTAATCACATACACGATCATCACAGAACAGTCAGGTCACATAGACCAAATGAAATAATGAAAGGGGGGTGGGATAAAATGATGGTAAATAAATGTTAACTCAATTTTGTCAATTTCTAAAAAGAACATTCACTAGTAACAACTATTTTTGCTAGACCTTGAAAATGCTTGTCTGGAGAGATATTAAAAATAGCAACTCTAGTCATGATGCTTGAAACATGGCCAATGCATAATCTAAAAATGCAAAGCATTTTTGCGATATAGTCAGAAAGAACGGCAGTTATTCAATGCGGTGATTTTCTTACCTGAAATCTGAAATGTACCAGTAGCTACAATTACCTAAATTTATCTGTTTAGACCACAGCCCCAGGAGTACAAGAATAGCAGACTGAAAAATGAGTCGGATTAAAGAGTTTTGTATGACTGTTGTTCCAGACTATCCTTGGGCAATGGAATATGAGATCTGCTGATATCATTATAAATCATTGAAGCTTTGTAATATAGTAAGTTTGCACAGTGTCTTAGCAGGAAGCCATATGGGGGCGAAGTGAGGTGGACGGTGGGCATGTGGGGTGCTGCCCTTAGCTTTAAATGAAAACAAAGATATCAACAGTAAGCATGTGAAGGACAAAAGAAGTTGCTAGCCTCCACAGGGCATTTAAAGTCACTCAAAATCATAATGTGCACTTGTACAAAAATATAAAATTGGTATACACCGGCAGGTAAGGAAATCCATATAAACGAGCCCCATGGAAACAAAAGTCCAATCCTAATGTAAGGTTACATCTAACATCCCAACGTTACTTCGCTCTTTCAGCTGTAGGTCAACTACTTTCAGATCAACACTCAATCCAGACACCTGAGCACAAACAATCTAAACCGACCCTTCATTGCATTACTGAGGTAGTTCCGCACCGATGGATGTGCCTTTTTCTAAATCAAAAACTAAGCTAAAGTTCTGTCTACAATCTTTATTGGATCTAAAACTACCCCATAGTGCTATTGTGGATAACAGCAAGGGAGTTACACCCAATTGCTAGACAATGTTTATCTCTCAATTAACATAAGTGAAAATAGATCAACTGATCACTTTCATATAATAATTTGTGGGAGCGTTCTGTGAATGCGTTAGCTGCCACATTTCCTGCATTATAAGGTGACTACAGTTGAGAAGTGTTTCATTGGTTGCAAAGTGCTTTAGAACATCCTTGATTGGGGTAGACAAAGTCAGAACTCACACGACATCAGGTTATAGTACCTCACAATTGTAACTGCAGTGATGCACTTATTGCTTGGAAAATATTGCATTAATGGTCCACTGCCTTAATGTTCTGATGTTTAATTGATGAAAGTTTTACCTCAAGTCTTAATCCACTAGTCAGATATTAATTGTCATTCTAACATGTTGTATTTATAATTTGAACATCTAACAGCCATGCTCGTTTTAAGAGTTTGAATCTAATATATTTCTAAACTTTTTTATTTGCAGAATTTGTGTGGACATCATTCATGTGATACTTTGGGAATGGCAGATGTCGGAACCATCTGCTCTCCTGAGCGCAGCTGTGCAATCGTTGAAGACGATGGCCTCCATGCTGCATTTACGGTCGCTCATGAAATTGGTATGTAAATTTTCTTTAAAAAATCAAGTTGTAAATTCAAGAAATAAGTAGAGTGAGGGATTGACCCCAATGAGTAGACATAGGACACAATGGAGTAGAATTTGGGCTAGAATTTGGCCTTCTCATAGTCTAATCAAAAGAAATGCCACCATGCAACCACCTCTATGTACTTGAATGTGGTTCTAGAGAATAGGGTTGGGCAAGGTCTGTAAGAACATAATATTTCATACTGACTTAAATGCCAGAATATCCAAGCAAAAAGTCTAAGGCCCAGAATGCCAGGCACCAATTCAGCTCTAAAAGGGGATCAAAGCAGTGGCTAAGTGATGCTTAGTTGGGATTTTGGAATAAGTTTTGTTAACCAAGAGGCGAATTACAATCAAATTATGAAATAATGTTTAAAGTAAGAGAATGCTTATGTAATAATATAACTACTTCTTGTTGATCAAAGGACATCTCCTAGGACTGTCCCATGATGATTCCAAGTTTTGCGAAGAGTCATATGGCTTGACTGAAGACAAGCGGCTAATGTCTTCCATTCTGACCAGCATCGACTCCTCCAAACCATGGTCAAAGTGCACTTCTGCTACAGTAACAGAGTTCTTTGATGACGGTCATGGTAAGTATCCTCAAAATGAACTAACACCAATGTGTTATCTGTGTCCCCCCCATGTTTTAGTAGCTCTTGTGTTTTAATAATATTCATGTGTCAAACTTAGCTGAGGCCATGCCAATGGAGTGCAATCTCACTTCAGTTATATTGTTTTTACCGAAGATAACCAGTCCCACATGGTTCAGTCAGTCAATCATGGCACTGTCAGATGCAGGTCATTTATAAGTCTAGTCTGGCACTCAGAAGTATAAGACTGTGGGTTCAAGTCCTACGCTAGGAACAAAGAAACTTTAGTAACATGGCCAAACTGGTTGAGAATCAACCTGTAAACTTTTCAACACATTCCAAAAGCAGCTGGAAAGAGTAGGAGAGATTCCTGGTCAACTATGTGATGGAAACAGTTTGGAACCTCTACCATAGCTATCCGTAGCTCCAGGCTGTGACATCCTTTTAAAAGCATATGTTGCTACTGCAACTCAGACTTGGTTTGAAGGCCAGTATAGATCGGATTGGCGCCAACAGTCTCTATTCTGGTTTGGGTGGATTTACAATCTCCGCTACCCTCCAGTGGAGATCATGGCCCAGTGCTGCTTTCTAGCCAAAAATTTGAGGGGAGGAAGGAGAAAAGCTAGAAGGAGAATCCAAAGAAAGTATAAACTAAAATGAGCGCAGAATGTGGTGTAAACAGAATTAGAAGGAAATGTTTCAATCATCATTGATTTGTTTCATTTACTGCAAAAATGCAAGAAGAAAGTATGAACAAACAAACTTCCATTCATATGGAGCCTTTTTCCATCTTCAGAATGTCTTAAAGTGATTCACAACCAATAAGTTGTTACTTAAATATAGTGAATGATATCACATATCACATATCACATATTAAATATGGCAGCTAATTGCACACAGCAGGGTCCTACAAATAAAAGTGAAATGACTAGCCCAGTGCTCCCAGACCTTTTCTCACTATGACCACATGGTGAGGTTTGAAAATTGTTGCAGCCTTCATGGGTAAGTTCTCATAGTGAGAGCAGAGTAAGGGGAGCTCTGGAAGAAGCACATGTTAGAGTGGAAGCACAACTATTATAACTTGGTCAGAGCCACATGGTGTCCAGAGCTTGGATCCCCAAAGTTTCAACTCATGACCCCACTGGGATCCCAATCTCACTTCGGGAAATCCCAGACTAACCAGTTAAGCAACGTTTTTGATAGTTCTTCTTGAGGAGGAAGGTTGGCCCGAATACAGAGAGAATTGCCATCATCTTCATATGGCTTCTTGGAACGCTTACCATCCACAGACAAGGGAGATCTTTTCTTAATTTATCAAATCTGAACCATAGGGGTTAGGTGGTGCAGTTCATTAGAACTTGGGGGATAGATTTGGGCATTCTAAATCAAGTCCCTAGTGGATGTAGTTACAACTTGTATTTCAGCACAGATTGGTGCTAAATGAGCAGTTTGACTCATGTCACCACAGAGATAGCTAAGCTGGGAAATAGAAACACTGTGATGTCACAAGGAGAGATGATAATCCAGGGGTGAAAACAGATGCCAGATGCAGATTAGAAGGATGCTATGGCCCTGTCCTGGAAGTGACTGATGTCAACAGAATAGGAGGATGTTACTTTCCATCACTTCAAAGGAATATTATGAGTGTCAATATTGCTAATTCTTGAATTGAGTAAGTCTGGTTCTTTTCATCTATTTGAAGATTAGTGAGGCGTAGCAAAGTTACTGACTGGATGATATTTATCTTTTTAACCATTGAAAGGTCAGTGAGATTTTGCTTCCTTTATTCTAATTATTGACAGTCTATCCTGATAGTCCTGGATCTCTCTAAGGGGTACAGTTCCACAGGCATCAGTTCCCCTAAGTGCCTATTCATGTGTATGTGAATGTGTCCCTGGTGGATTGATGATTCAGAGGCCCATCAGGCCTGGCAGCATCTGTAGAGGAAAACAGATTTAACATTACAAATCCAGTGACCCTTCACCAGAAAGGGAAAGAATGGAATTTATGCTGATGACAGGGTGTGGTGGCGGAGAAGCGTAGTGAATAGAGTACATGGAGAGGGAGCTCAGAGAGAGAGGAAAAAGGATAGGCAAACAAAGAGATAGCTGGATGACAAGTTGAGAGAGAGAGAAAGAGAGAAATACTTAAACAGAAATCACTAGAGAAACTCAGCATCTATGGAGAGAAAGCAAAATTAATATCAAGTCCAGGAGCGTCCAGTTCTGAAGAAGAGTTACCGGACTCAAAACATTAACTCTGCTTTCTGTCCACAGATGCTGATTCGACCTGCTGAGTTGCTCCAGCAATTTCTGTTTTTATTTTAGACTCAGCATCCACAGCTCTTTGTTTTATTATATCTGACATAATAACTCCGAAGGGTGCTAACAAGAAGTGTGAATAGTTGAAAATGGGCTGGCTGTGTTAGGAATAACCATACAACATAGGACCTAGTGGGTGTGAGCGGGAGGTTAACTGACAACAAAGCAATGTCGTTAACACTGAGCGACTCTCTGATGTGGCCAAGCCAGCTACTCATTTCAAGGGTAATTAGGAATGGACAACAATTGAAGATTTTACCAGAGACACACCAACATCCCATGAAAAAGATTAGAAAATGCAATTACTTGCACAAGGCTATTGGTGAACAAAAGGAGAAAGAATCCAAGCTGATATTTTCCTTTTCTAATAGGTCAGTTGCATTGACACTAATTGTACCAATCCTTCTGACCAGATAGCAGTGCAAGAAATTTACAGGTCTATTTTTTCACAGTCACACTTGGTAAGCCATCAGGGAAGCTAGGTTTTGTTGGATTTTTCAGATTTTTCTGGATGCATGCATAGGTTTTTTATTTCACAGTATGCTGATTGTTCTCCTTTCTAGGGGATTGCCTCCTTGATCTCCCACAGAATCCCTTACGTGTACCCGAGGAGCTTCCAGGCCAGAACTATGATGCTGTTCGTCAGTGCAAGCTGGCTTTTGGGCCAGAGTACACAGTGTGTCCAGGAATGGATGTCTGCTCCCGCCTGTGGTGTGCTGTCATCCGTCAGGGACAAATGGTGTGCATGACCAAGAAGCTTCCTGCTGTGGAGGGAACGCCATGCGGAAAGGGGAGGATCTGTCTCCATGGGAAATGTGTGGACAAAACCAAACGGAGGCATTACTCGGTGAGTAGGAGGTCTAGAAGTTACACCAATGATTGGACAATGTGTGTGTGTGTGTGTGTGTTTGTGTCTCTGCTGTTGTGTGTTTGTGTGTGTTCATATGCCTATCTGTGCATGTTTTGTGTCCATATGTCTATGTGTGTCTCAAGTGTCATATTTGTGTCTGTGTGTGTGTGTAAGTCTGTGTGTGTTTGTTCCCAATGTCTGTGTGTTTGTGTGTGTGTCATGTGTCATATGTGTGTCCGTGTGTGTGTGTGTCTGTCTGTCTATCTGTCTTTGTTCTGTATGTCTGTGTGTGTCTTATGTGTTATATGTGTGTGTATTTTTGTGTATGTCTCTATATGTCTCTTTGTGTCGTGTGTGTGTGTGTGTGTGTGTGTGTGTGTGTGTGTGTAAGTCTGTCTGTGCCTGTGTGTATGCATATTTGTAGTGAAGATATAATCAGATGTAACCATGAGGTGTTCCATAGCTGAATAGACTGCTAACTTTGGCTGTCTAGGCTCAAATATCAAAAATGCATTCAGTGGTTTTGAAAGTTTATAAAGACAAGTTTCCACCTTCAGAAGAGGAAATGAGAAGCAACATGGAGGAATTCCCACATTAGCCTCAAAGTAGCCATTGTGCTGAATTTAGTTTAATTTCTATCGTGATATATATGTGTTTGAGAAATTGAAGGCCCATATCCCAGGCAGCGATTATCTGAGCAGCTGGTGCCATTCCAGTGCCAGTCTGGAATCAAGAATGCAGCGAACAAAGATTCTGGTGCCCCATTCCAATGGAAATAAAACTAGCAAGTTACAGAACAACGTCCTGTTTCATTCCAATGTCGTAATGCAAAAGCTATTTTCCCACACATCCCTTTTGATGTTGGCTGCCAAACAGCAGTGGGTTTTCTCCTGTTCCTAAGGATAAAAAAAAGTCATCTGAATAGTTTAATAAAAAAACAGTTGCAAATTCTCAGTTCCCGGTCCTCATGATGCCTGGTCCTGTGGTTATCAGATCAGGTTCAGTTTCTTGTGGCCATGAAATTACACCATGGTTGACTTGCAAATGCATCTGGATGGATGCAAATCTCTTGTTCCATAGCAGGGAGCAGAGGTTCATGTAGATGAATGCATTACTATCCTATGATGTAATTTCAGGACCTACAAGTGCAACTGGATAGATTCATAGATTTCCAAGTGAGTGCATTTTTTAAATGTTGACTTTATAGGTCTAGGTGGCCCTATGGTCCAGAGGATAAATTAACTAGTGGAAAAGGAAGGGAAGCCTCAAGCCAAGCTTTTTGTGCATGTTTAACCCTGTTAAAAGTAGATTGGGCTCAACTGAAATGCTCTCCCCTTAGAAACAGACAGACAATGTCTACACGTGCGTTAAAAATTCCATATGGCCAAGGTACTGGGGTGGTATGATGGCAACTGGTTGGGCCAGGAGCATTAGACTTGAACTTGAGTTCCACAATGTGGAGAACAAGGTAAAAAAAAATGCTTCCTGAGAGAAGTGAACTCCATATTGCAATGTCTCTCATCAAGTTGTCACACTGGCTGTCTGTAAAACCATCTTGTGTCAGCAAAGTTGAAAATTCTTGGATTCTTACTGACACACTGTTAACTCTTCCAAGTGCAAACAGCTTTATATGAGTTATATTTGTTGCTGCTTGAATTACAGGCTTCAGCTCATGGAAACTGGGGGTCATGGGGTTCCTGGGGACAGTGTTCACGGACGTGTGGAGGGGGTGTGCAGTTCTCCCGTCGACATTGCAACAACCCTGCTCCCAGAAACAATGGCAAATACTGCGTGGGGAAACGTGCCATCCATCGATCCTGCAACGTGACACCGTGCCCACAAACTGGTACGTCTATCCTACAGAATACACCGATCAGGGACTGTGCTTTGGCTTGGTTTGCTCTCCTTTCCCTTTCATTCCCTGAGGCCCTCGCCCAACAGATTTAGAAAGCCGAAGTCAGATTTCTGCATCTCACCCATGTAAGCCTTTCTTAATGCTTAATATCTTAATATCTGTGGGTTATTTGATTATCAAAGACTGAACTGAAACTATCCTCTATCCAATACCCTCACAAGTGCCCTTTATAACAAAGTGGTGTGATCAAACACAGGAACTTGCTCTGGTTTTAAACCTCTCTCCCCACCCCTACACACACAACATGCCCCACACGTTCCAGTCCAGGGGCACTGAGGCCTATTATTGCTGTCTTGTTAATAAGGTCACACAAAACACAAGAATTGAATTTGGGACTTTTTGGTCTGCATGCCCACCGTAGGTGATGCCAATTCCCTTTAGATTAGCTGACAAGAATTCTAATAACAAATATTCCTACTGAAGCACAAAAAAAAACAATCAAACATAGAGAATATTGAAGAAACTCAGCAGGTCTGGCAGCATCTGTGGAGAGAGAAACAGAATTAACGTTCCGACTCTGGTACCACTTTTCTTCAGAAGTAAAAGGTCTTGGAAATTTTTTTTTAATCTCCTTGGAAACTGGTAGCAATCCATGGAGCCATACTGATGGGCAGGAACTTCCTGTGAGCTGCTTCCCTCTGCCATCTCATTTTCTGGAAGTGCTGTGCTCAATCTTTGGTTTCTAGCAAGGTTTCCAGAGCAACTGGAGGAACTTAGTCCTGGAGGTACTCTGAGCAAGTCCCATTGTCTGCATGGGAAGGGGAAAGAAAATACACATAAAACATTTCAGCTGACTTATCTTTTAAGGTTTACGGTCAGTCCACTTGCAACATATTTGAATTGTCTCAACAATTTTTTTAATCCATTCATGGGATGTGGGTCTCGCTGGCTAGGCCAGCGTTTATTGCCTATTCCTGATTACCCAGAAGGCAGTTGAGAGTCAACCACATTGTTGTGGGTCTGGAGTAGGCTAGACTGTGTGAGGTTAGCAGGTGTCTTTCCCTAAAGGACATTAGTGAGCCAGATGGGTTTCTTTTTCCTGACAATCAACAATGGTTTCACGGTCATCATGAGACTCTTAATTCCAGATATTTATTGAATTCAAATTCCGCCATGTGCCTTGGCAGGATTCGAACCTGGATCCCCAGAACATCAGCTGGGTCTCAAGGGTGATAGTTGAAACAATAATACTAAAGATGTAGGTAGAGGATTTATAACTGTATTTATTAAGCATTCCAATACGGTGGTAGGTGCAACCAATCCTTGCTCTATATTCCCATGGTTTTATGACAAAAATCTGGACACCATTGAATAGCCAATTGTTTCCCTCAGTTCATTATCTAATATCATATCAACAGGATTAAAAATCTTGGGAAGTGACACCATATTGAGTGAGGACAGAATATTATAAGGTTTTCAACTTTATGACATCTGTTATATCAGGCTGCATTTGCAGCACCTAATGTAGTGGGAAATAGTTAGAGGTGAGCAGTGCATAAAGTGGCCAGGATAAGCCTGGCTCTGGCAAGTATTAAAAGATGGATTTCAGACTTGGCAAGCTGTTCTCACCAAAAGGAATCTGACCATTGGCCTGCATGGAAGAAAAACAAAAGTACATCAAAGTTTTCAGAAATACCATCTTTAAATATGAATTAAATTGTTATCAGAGCTGATTTTCTCAACAAATTTACATTTGCAAATGAGTTAAATCACGATGTACTTTGAAGATTTGCACAGCAAAAGGGTAAGGAAATGATGGATTTGCTCATTTCAGAGCCCTGAAACTTGTTTGCACTTTTTTTAAGCATTGTTGGTGGCTCATGTTTTGAGACTGCAGTCAGATCCTATTGGTTTTGGCATCTAACCATATAGTGTCTGATTATAAGATGCCAGAAAAGTGAATTTTTTTTCCAGCGTACTGTTGCATGACCACACTTTATATTCTGGTCATTCAATCAAAAAAAAATTGCATTTCCAAAACAGTGGAAAATATTAAAACTTATACTGTGTGTACAGAGCAGTGAGTTGGAAGAATACCACACAGTGAGTGTGTGAGACATCATGAGGCCAATTTATTCATGTCACTCCAATAGGAGAATTATGTGTGGAATGAAGTGTATCAGGGTAGGAACGGAGCTCAATAAGTTTAAAAGTAAAGTTCACTACCGGCGGTTATTAGAAGATTTATTACGCAATGGAAAAATAAGGGCAAGAGGGAAATTTAATACTCAGGAGAGCACACAGATAGTAGAAGAAATTCAGTTATTACAGAGGCAGGGGATTATAAGGTTAGAAAGTGCAATATGGAATATACGTTAGGTGTAGAATCATAGAATCCCTGCAATGTGGAAGCAAGCCATTCAGCCCATCGAGTCCACACTGACCCTCCAAATAGCATGCCACCCCAAACCTGTAACCCTGCATTTCCCATGGCTAACCCACTTAGCCTGCATATCCCTGGACACTATGGGCAATTTAGCATGACCAATCATCCATTCTGTCCATCTTTGGACTGTGGGAAGAAACTGGTGCACCCAAAGGAAACCCATACGGATATGGGGAAAATATGCAAACTCCACACAAGGGTGGAGTTTACACATTCCACCCACTCCCGAGGGTGGAAACAAACCCAGGTCCCTGGCACTGTGAGGTAGAATTGCTAACCACTGAGCCACCGTGTCACCCTGAAACCATTATTGAAAAGAAAGCAGTCAGGTTAGAAGGAGAACAATCTTCAGAGGCTGCATAAAGGTAGCAGACATCAACAGTATTGAGGACGAAGGTGGAAATCATGCTAGGAGGTAAATCCAGTGTCAGAAAACTGGACTCAAAAGAACTTATTGTTAGATGCGCAAGCAAGATTCCATAGCAAATCCAATATCGATTGTTTGGATACAGTTAAAAGGAGAAGCCTATAATGGAAATGGTAAAGGTAAGACTAAGTCAAGCCTAATATCAAGCCAAGAGGGAGAATAATTATTGCCTGAGGCAGTTAGGCGAAATAGGAAGACCAATAGAAAAACCTTCTTCATTATTTCCAAGGAGAGTATTTTTATCCTTGCTCCAACACCCTCCACTGGACCATATGAAGTTTAGGGTGATCTGAGGGATTTATAAAACCATGAGAGATATACATATGGTGAATGGCAGGTCTCTATTCCCTAGGAGGGGGGATTTCAAGACCTGGGGGCATATTTTTAGGGTGAAAGGAGAAAGATTTAAAAAAGACACGAAGGGCAGTTTATTTACACAGAGACTGGTTTGTGTGTGGAATGAACTTCCAGAGGAAGTGGTGGATGCGGGTACAGTTACAATGTTTAAATGACATTGGGATAAATACATGAATAAAAAATGTTTGGAAGGATACGGGCCAAATGCAGGCAGGTGGGACTAGTTTAGTTTGGGATTACAGCCGGAATGGACTGGTTGGACAGAAGCGTCTGTTTCTGTGCTGTATGACTCTATGACTCAAGTCATCTCTCCCTATTTTACCTCACACCAGCACAGTTACTGATGCAGTTAGTGTAAAACATTTGGTTAGTTTGTAAAGTAGCTGTATTTAAAGATGAACTGCTCTGTCATAATGAACGAAACTAATAAATCCAATGCATAAATTTTTTAAAATCCTTCAATTCGAACAGGCAAATCTTTTCGACATGAACAATGTGAGGCGCGGAATGGGTACCAGACTGATGCCAAAGGAGTCAAAACGTTTGTGGAATGGGTTCCAAAGTACGCTGGTGTGATCCCTGCGGATGTCTGTAAATTGACTTGTCGAGCAAAAGGAACAGGATATTATGTTGTGTTTTCTCAGAAGGTAAGCATGTGAAGTTTGGATCATGACAAACTGTATCCTTTCTGTCGTCAAGTTAAATTCAGTCTGAGTGTGCATCTGTGTCTGAGAATTCGATTTGCATGAAAGCAACAACTAAAGGCAGCTTCAAAAAAAAGCAGTCAAAATACAAGCACCATGAAGGTAATTTTAAAAATACTGCTTCACCCGGCCACTGTAAGATCAGCTTTGACCATCTCCACTAAGTATCTAAGGCGATGAGTGGCCTCAGCACTGGCTCCATCCTTTATCAACTGGTAATTTCTCCATACCCCCTGATCAGATAGGAAAGTGATGGACATAATCAGATAAGCCAAGGGTTTATTGAATGCGGAGCAGGCTGGAAGGGCCAAATAGCCTCCTGTACCTTACATTTCTGATGTTCTCCACATGAGTTTGAAATAGTCTCAGCTCACAAGCTGAAGTCTTACACAGAAGTTCTATACATGGCACTAGTGAACACAGGGAAGAATCATGGTATGGTTACAAGCCAGTCTACCTGGTGTGTCCATGCCAGCCCTATGCATGAGATACTCAGCTAGTCCCATTTTCCTGTCCTTTCCCATAGCCCTGCAGCTTTTTTGTCATTTCAGGTTCTTGTCCAATTCCTTCTTGAATGCTCTGTTTGAACCTGCCTCCACTATGGCCTGAGGTTCTGCATTCCTGATCACCAACAGCGTAACACAATTCTTCCTTGTGCTGCCGCTGTTTCTATTGTCAATCACTTTAAATCAGTGCTCTCCAATTCTGAACCTCTCCTCCAATTCCCTCTGCCTGATGCACATCATGATTTTAAACAACAAGGTGCGGGGCTGGATGAACACAGCAGGCCAAGCAGCATCATAGGAGCAGAGAGGCTGACGTTTCGGGCCTAGACCCTTCATCAGAAAAGGGGGAGGGGAAGGGGGTTTTGAAATAAATAGGGAGAGAGTGGGAGGCGGATAGAAGAGGGATAGAGGAGAGGATAGGTGGAGAGGAAACAAACAGGTCGAAGAGGCGGGGATGGGGCCAGGAAAGGTGAGTGTAGGTAGGGAGTTAGGAAGGGGATAGGTCA